GGATAGAGCCGAACAAAGTTTGAGAATGAAAATGACCTTGACCTTCTTTTAAGGTCACATGAGGCAGATATGTCAAACACTTTAAACGACTTCTTCTGAAGAACTGGTAGTTATAAAATCTTAATATTTGGCAGGTGGCTTCCTGGGAAAGAGCCAAACAAAGTTTGTGAATGAAAATGACCTTGACCTACTTTCAAGGTCACAGCGTTCAAATATGTCAAACAGTTCAAACAGCTTCTACTGAAGAATTAAAAGGCATAAAATTGTAATATTTGACTGGTGACTTCCTGGGATAGAGCTCACCAAAGTTTGCGAATGAAAATGACCTCAACCTACTTTAGAGGTCACAGAGGTCAACAACATTTGTATGGATTTGTTCTTGAGAACTAAAAGGAATGGATTCATAAGATTTGCCTGGTAGCTTTTTGGAATAGAGCTAACCAATTTGAGAAGGAAAATGACATTGACCTACTTACAAGATCACGGAAAAATATGTCAAGCAACTTCTGAAGAAGAATCAAAAAGCATAGAATCTTATAATAATATTTTGCTGGTAGTTTCAACAGATGGAGCCAACAAAGTTTGCGCGGGAAATATTGATAGTGCAATATAATATTCAATGAGAATATTTTGCTATGACTGCTTAAATATTCAGGTGAGCGATACAGGCCCTCTTGGGCCTCTTGTTAAATTTGAGATAGAAATTCCATCCTTAGGTGTGGAACCTTGGGCTATAACCTTGGTGTAGCCACAATTCTGACACAAAATTCTACACCATGCTGATGGAAGTTTGATATCTCATAACTAGATATGTTACCTTTCATGAAACATTTCCTTGTGTGTTGGCATATTTAACTGACTTGCATGTATCCATCAACTAACTTAACATAACTGGCCTGTTTTTTCAGGAAACATTTTTATCAGCCTCATTTTTTTGTTACCAGAAAATCTAGACAAATGGGAGCGCCTGACGGTAGCAGACTCACTGGAGCCCGTGGAGTTCGAGGATGGCCAGGAAATAGTGAGACAGGGAGAACCTGGTGAAGACTTCTTCATCATCACAGAGGTGAGCTGCCACAGTTTCTTCCCCTGTACTCAGTCACAGGAGTTCTCTCCCCTGTACTCAGTCACAGGAGTTCTCTCCCTTGTGCTGTGTCATGCATTTGTGTTTCTTCAGGAAAAGTCAAAAAGTGTTGGGAACCATCATTCTCCAAATTAAATAATTGTCAGGAATCCTTTAATCCAGTCAGTATTGTAAATGTCAAAGTACAGGTTCTGTACAGTGTAGAGGGAACACAGTAATTATATGTGGTAGGAATGTACTAAATACTGTTATACTGGTGACAGTAGACCTGCATTTTACTTACTCAGATAGTTCCTATGTAAATTCAGTCTGTCCTTACAAGTAATTTTTCACATAACTACTAAAATTAATATATCCCCAATGGCACCTGGAGTATCTCCATATAATACCCTAGAAACATATTTACTCCCACGAAACAACCTAGAAACATGTTCATACTTACATAACACTTTAGAATTTAGAAACTTTCTGGGCTTTTATGCAGGTGTAAACATAATTCCATGTTTCAATGTAGGTGTAAACATGATTCTTTGGTGTAATGTGGGTGTAAACATGATTATTTGGTGTAATATGGGTGTAAACATGATTATTTGGTGTAATGTGGGTGTAAACATGATTCTTTGGTGTAATGTGGTGTAAACATATTTATTTGGTGTAATGTGGGTGTAAACATGATTATTTGGTGTAATGTGGTGTAAACATGATTCTTTGGTGTAATGTGGGTGTAAACATGATTATTTGGTGTAAAATGGGGGTAAACATGATTATTTGGTGTAATGTGGGTGTAAACATGATTCTTTGGTGTAATGTGGTGTAAACATGACTATTTGGTGTAATGTGGGTGTAAACATGATTATTTGGTGTAATGTGGGTGTAAACATGATTATTTGGTGTAATGTGGGTGTAAACATGATTATTTGGTGTAATGTGGGTGTAAACATGATTATTTGGTGTAATGTGGGTGTAAACATGATTATTTGGTGTAATGTGGGTGTAAACATGATTATTTGGTGTAATGTGGGTGTAAACATGATTATTTGGTGTAATGTGGGTGTAAACATGATTATTTGGTGTAATGTGGGTGTAAACATGATTATTTGGTGTAATGTGGGTGTAAACATGATTATTTGGTGTAATGTGGGTGTAAACATGATTATTTGGTGTAATGTGGGTGTAAACATGATTATTTGGTGTAATGTGGGTGTAAACATGATTATTTGGTGTAATGTGGGTGTAAACATGATTATTTGGTGTAATGTGGGTGTAAACATGATTATTTGGTGTAATGTGGGTGTAAACATGATTATTTGGTGTAATGTGGGTGTAAACATGATTATTTGGTGTAAAGTGGGTGTAAACATGATTATTTGGTGTAATGTGGTGTAAACATGACTATTTGGTGTAATGTGGGTGTAAACATGATTATTTGGTGTAAAGTGGGTGTAAACATGATTATTTGTTGTATTGTGTGTAAACATATTCTTTGGTGTAATGTGCGTGTAAACATGATTATTTGGTGTAAAGTGGGTGTAAACATGATTATTTGGTGTAATGTGGTGTAAACATGATTATTTGGTGTAATGTGGGTGTAAACATGATTATTTGGTGTAAAGTGGGTGTAAACATGATTATTTGTTGTATTGTGTGTAAACATATTCTTTGGTGTAATGTGCGTGTAAACATGATTATTTGGTGTAAAGTGGGTGTAAACATGATTATTTGGTGTAATGTGGTGTAAACATGATTATTTGGTGTAATGTTGGTGTAAACATGATTATTCGGTGTAATGTGGGTGTAAACATGATTATTTGGTGTAATGTGGTATAAAAATGGTAACTCATTCATGAAGCTTATATATCCAATTAAAAAAATAGAAAAGTGACAAATATTTGAAAACATAAAAACCATGCATCACTCTTCGTACTACTAGTATATTAACTTTAAATACAATGATTATTTTGTTTTTCATGGTCTCTGTAACTTTACGAGAATCAAGTTTAATGGAGTATTTTTTCGATTTTTAGAAGTTTATTTTTTTTTTCTCTCATTCACAAATTTTGTTTTGTGTTGCTTTTTGGGAATGCTGCTGCAGAATTTGGTTTAATATAGTATTGTGTTTCTTTTTCAGGGCCAAGCAGCTGTACTTCAGCGGAGAGCGGAGAATGAGGAGGCGGTAGAAGTTGGCAGGCTGGCACAGTCAGACTATTTCGGTATGAGGATCTCATTTTATTTTTTATTTTTTTTATTATTTCAATATCTTTTTATATATCGAAGACGGGGACGTATTATGTTATCACGTGGGCGGGCGGGCAGGCCGACTTGCCGAAACAGTGTCCGCTCGATATCTCGAGTAATTATTAACGGATTAACTTCAAACTTCACAACAAGGTTAATTACCATGAAACCACGGACAAGTTTGATAACCGCCATTATCCAACCGTAATTACTGGAGTTATTACCCTTGGTTTCATTAATGCGATGCATGCGTTCCATGATGTTGTATTGCACTCATTGATCTACCAGTTATGTTGAATGATTTCTCTTTTAATATCAATTACTCACAAATACTTCATATATTTCAATCATACAAACAACTGCTCATTCAATGTGTGACGGGCGTATTATATACCGCTTGCGGTAACCTTGTTTAGTGATAACATTGATCTACACATCATTTCATATAATTTTCATGTACACTTGTTATCATGATGATATAAATAAACATAATCTATATATTCATAGGTCTGATGTATTATACTAAAAGGCTAAACAAATGTATATTTAAGAGCATCCTTCCTTTAGACATTTCCTATCATCTACTACATCTGAGATTAAGTAGGACTTCTTACAATTGAATGGTATATTTCACAATGGGAGTTTTTTAAAAAGATAAAAAATATGAACAATATTCACAAGTGATTTAACAGAACCACATATTTTCAAGTAAGGATCAATTTATTAATATAATAGCATTATGAACCATGGATCACTTTATAAAATAGCACTACACTGTCCTTCACTCAAGAACTAGTGTTTCTACAAACTGGAGTTATCATCTCACAACCTGACCAAAATCGAAAACTATACCTTAATTTAGCTGTAGCTACATAATGTAACTCTGTTTTATAGTCTTTATGAATACCAATTCTAACTGTGTTTTTCTTTGTCCACAGGTGAGATTGCTTTGCTGCTGGATCGACCTCGCGCAGCCACTGTGGTGGCGCGAGGTAAGCTTAAGTGTGTCAAGCTTGACCGCACTCGATTTGAGCGTGTACTAGGGCCATGTTCAGACCTCCTCAAGCGAAATGTGTCGCAATACAACAGTTTTGTGTCATTGTCTGTGTGAACTAGCCAAATATATGTGTGTTCTGACATCAACAAAAACCTAATCAGAATTGAAAATACCAGATTGGACTGTGGACAGAAAGTAGACAAGCAGGCAGGGACCTGATAGCCGTCGCATGTTACAGACTCCACATCTCAGTTTTATCTTTGATGATACACCAAAAACGTGAATTTATGGTAGAAATCAGGTTCAAATCAGTAAAAGAAATCTGATCAATATTTCATAACAGTTTAAAGAACTGATGTAAATGGTTTTAGCTTCTATAGAAATGTCCTGGAACTGAGGAGTAGGAATCAGGTAGTGTCCCTTGTGTTAGTACCATACTTGTGCTGCCATTATTAAGACTTGTGTTTGTGATGACGTGAGGATATTATGTCGGAGAGGAAAACACTGCTCATCATTGTCTACTAACCTAATGATAGCTTCTGTTCTCTCAGTAACAGTTTCGCAGTAACAGACGTATTTTGCTTTCGTTAGAGCAATGTGTATGTTTCAGTTAAACAGTTATAATCTGGAGGCCACAATATATACACTCTTGCCACTGGAGACTGCTGATCTCAAAATCATTTATTGAATATAAATACATGTACATGGATATTTAATGTTGATACATTACTATAACAGTATTGAAACAATGTTGACATGGCAGAGAAAAGATGTTAAAACCATGTTAATAAATTAGTGATAGGATATAAAACCATGTTGATACAGAAGGGATACAATATTAAAACCATGTTGATACAGAAGGGATAAAATATTAAAACCATGTCGATACACTAGTTATATATATAAAAAGATAAAATACACAAACGAAACAAAATTAAATCCATGTCGATACATTGTATTGTCAGATATATCAATTACATATAAAGTATAATGTATAGATATATTTATGGGTCAAATACTTTGTTGAAGGAGGAAGGAATGTTTTGGAACTGGATTAGTCAGGGCATCTTGACCAGATAGTTGATTTGGTCAGAGCGCTGGTCCAGAGTTTGGATGTCCTGGGTTCAAATACTGGTTTCAAATACATCTTTCTATTTGGTACATATAGATACGTTATCTATATAATGTTTCAGATACATGTAGATACATTGAAATGTAGTGTGCAGCAATAAAAAGAAGGTACAATATGTAGACACCCTGATACACCAAAGATCAATATAACATAAATATAGTATTGATTTACACTAATACAATCTAGATATAATTCTATCACAACAACAAACAACCATTATTGGGTATATGAATCAGACACAAGTCTTGATGCAACATATACATTATTGATACAATGTTTATACATTATTGATACAATGTTTATACATTATTGATACAATGTTTTTTNCTTGATGCAACATATACATTATTGATACAATGTTTATACATTATTGATACAATGTTTATACATTGTAACACTACTCGGGACTGTTACCTCTTTGTTTTTGCTAGAAGTTAAGATGCTGCGGAAGCTGTGTGTGCTTGTCCTCTGTACCACATATATTTCTTTAGGATTGTTTATGTTTATAGGATAGAGTTATACTGTTGTCTGTCAGCTGTAATAGTTACAGTGAACAACAACTCCAAATATTTATTTCCCAATGACAGTTGTTTCTGTGTATTTGATGACATCCATTAGATGAAATATTGACTAACTTGCTTGTCGTTCTACTGCTGATTCTGTGTAATAACTTGTGTGGCTACAACTGGCTGGCCGGTGACTGCTTTACACACCCTATAGTGTAGGTCTTCTGGTACACAATACATAATTATCATCTAGAATCCCAGAACCTACCCTATAAATCAACAGTTATCAAATAACAAACATCAATATTAACTCAAGTTCTGGACTTTTTAACTCAAATTCCGTCTTACCATGTAGTTAATTGTCTGTTAACTTGAATTCTTTTGCACCATTTAGAAATTGTTTATTAAAGAATGCTAGAGTGAAAATAAGAACTATTTTTGTGAATTTGTATGATACATATATTTACCTACTGTATACTATGTAAACTGTACAGGTATTGATGGAGTTGTAGACATGCACTCGTCCAGGTATATATTGGAAGTGTATATCTTATTAGGACCTAGGTCATAAGTCTTTTCTTATCTTTAAAGGGCTGCAAATTGATGAAAGGCAATTGAATACCTTATCAGAGAAAATGTTATAAAACTTTATCTTTGCCAATAGGTACACAAATTTGTACAAAGTGAACCAAAGGATGGGTCAGTTATTTGAGGCGTATCATTTTCTCATTAGCATCTTTCTCTCACCATTTCCTCATCATTTTATCCAAGTTGAAAGTTGCATGATTACAAATGTTGCTGATGTTTTGCAGAACAGTGAATTGATTTTCTTGGGAAAAATAAATATCTGGTGTAATTGCAATGGAGGGTTATAAACAATACAATGACAATTGACAATTCTACAAAGATATATTTCTGATGTTATAGTCCGTTTAATAAACAGCAGTGTTTTACATTAGGTTGTAATTGGTTGGTTTCTATATGAGTTTATGGTCAAGAACAATCATTCCTGAGCGGTATATTTTTATTGGACATTAACGATACTTGGTGGATGTTTATTATCACACGTGTAGCCTTTATCTCCAGGTGGACATTTCAGGCGTAGGACTGGATAGCTGCCAATGTTTGAATGATTGGAGATACGTTGGTAACTGTGAGTCACAGACAGTTCTGCCCGGCTGGTACAGCTATTGTTACACCATTACCTCAGCATCCACAGGCACACAGTAATTATGGTATTATTCAGCTTCAAGGAAATGGTATCAGAAAACTGGACCATTGCAAAAAATACTTATCCCTATTATTAGAAGCCCTTGCATTGTATGTTAACAAGCCAAAATCGGTCCAAAAGGATGCCCCCTTTGTTGGTATGGTAAAGGTATAGGGTGAGGAGATTGCAAAGAAATTGAAATCTGTTAATAGTGAAGTGATTATGTTTGTCATAAATCCCACCATTTGATCAGCCTGTAAAATTCTCACACATTATTATCATATTTACATGGTAAACCATTGATAGGTACAGAAATACAATATTTAAACATTTCAAATGATACGATAAAAGTGAATATCTCTTTTATAAGATCAAAGGGAAGAGATAACCTGTCCTTTCTGAAGCTATACGATATTGGAAACAAAGTATGAGATAAAAGACCACACTATCACTACCAAATGATATAGGAGGGATTATACTGGGCCTGGTAGGTTTTGTTTAGCCATAGTCAGACAGGGAAGGTGGGTACATCGAGAGGAGATCCAGCCAATGTAGGGTACAGAAGGAATCACAGGGCTTAACTACCATGGATGGAACGATCCCGTACTCCATTCAGACCTGTACTTATCTATATTATTAGATGACATGCTTGTGTTGTTTAAATAGGGCCAGAAGTTTAGATCCATTTATTTTGTAGACTCGAATAAACTATTCAACCAATTTGACTTGTGAAAATGCTACAAGAATATTGTGTTATAGTATGTACAGACAGTAGAGAAATCATGTAGTTATTTCAAGTGTAAGATACTAATATATATAATTATATAGCAATATGAATGATGAAATGAAGATTTGCTTGTAGAAATCTTTTCATTTTTGTTGTTCATATAAAAAGAATGTTTTATGAATAAAAAATGTCTAAATTGTACGATAGTCTTCGTCTTTTAATTAAAATAGAAAGATTTGTGATAAAAATAATCAGACTTTTTCTTCGGTTAGTTACAAATATGATCACATTTGGTAAACAAGAGTATATGTTCTTTAGCGAAATCAATATAAAAACCTATATATATGAAGAGATATTACATAATTGTGTAGGTATTGTACATTGGGTGAAATATAATTACTGTTTACAAATACATACACAGATATTCAAGCTAGTATATGGTTGTAACTACATTTAAAAGTATTCGGAGTACATACATGTATATACCATGTTTGTTACATCAGCTGTCTATACTACTTAACCTTTGTTACAGCTACCTATAGATTTATAGTATATGTTTGATAACTACAACATACATATGTATACAATGATTCAAAACAACCTTTGGCTTCAAGAACATATATTAGGAATTAGAATATTAACTACTACAGCTACATATACAAGGATTTAGAATATTAGCTACTACAGCTACATATACAAAGATTTAGAACAGTAGCTACTACAGCTACATAAACAAGGATTTAAAATATAAGCTACTACAGCTACATATACAAGGATTTAGAATATTAGCTACTACAGCTACATATACAAAGATTTAGAACAGTAGCTACTACAGCTACATAAACAAGGATTTAAAATATTAGCTACTACAGCTACATATACAAGGATTTAAAATATAGCTACTACAGCTACATATACAAGGATTTAGAATATTTGCTGCTACAGCTACATAAACAAGGATTTAGAATATAAGCAACTACAGCTACATATACC